TGTTCCACCATTTTCTTGGAGCCCACTACCCAGGATGTTACTTGTCACATCAGAACGGCCCTCCAAATCAAATGTTAGGTGTCCACTAGAAATTAACGCACCAATCAATCTGATGATCCCGACCACAACAGCATCGCTATTATCAACATTGTACACGTTGTTTCTTGCATTATCAGCACTTATCGAAAGACTTATACCACCAATTTCAGACGATATTCTCTCAGTACTTAAATCGGAAATGGAAACGGGGTCACTATCACAAATGACAGATGCATTGTCTTCTTTTTCTTGTTGAACTGAGTCTGATTCATTCAAAGACCCTACGTTACCATCCTCAACAGAATTTCCATCAGGACCACAAGCGTCAATGTTAATCTCATTATCGTGTTGATCAGATTCCAGTTGTTTTACCAAACCAGACTCGTTGAACTGACTCTTTTCACTTTGATCAGACAATGACCTTGTTTCACTCTTACCAGCTAAAACATTGCCCTCACCAGTTTTAGCTTCTCTCTGCAGCAGAACAAGAAGTGTTTCTATCCCACCGGATGTTATAAATACCTCTGCAAACATCGTAGCTCTTGCAGCATTTGGCTGTACAACCAATCTATATATAAGGTGTAGTACCCTCGCAACCTAAAATACGAAAAGGTTGAAAAGTATCAGAAAGCACGTATTTGTCAATTAAAGTGGTCCTTACCATTTTTTCCTAACTACCAACACAAGGAAACTGCAATCAGTTAGAATATTCTCTAGCAACAACATAGGAAACGTGTAACCTGTTCGAGTATTCCCTATTGCAATTGTCTAATTGTGATTACTGAAGAACACTAAGGAAAATTGTTACCTGATTTGGCTGTGGACTGTCAATTATGAAACCAAGTAATCGACGGAGGTCATCAGCAGCTAAAGAAGGAGATGCTGCTCCCATCAGAAGTTCAATAATAACCAGAAGTTCATCAATAAGAGCGTTAACTTCCCCCATTTGACGCGTATTCCCGTCAAGGGGAAAAGTGGTCACGGAATCCTGCTCAGTAATCATCCAATAGCATCTTCGACAGCCATCTAGAAGCAGCTGAATAGCATCGGCATTCCTCATAGCTTTTGCTTCAGTGAAAACCATATCCTGAAGAGATGACAATAGCTTCTTTTGGAGTCCATAATTGCACAAGCTCCATATTTTCAAATCTAATAGCAGTGTACGGAAGAGCTGCACTTTAAGAACATGATTGATCTTCTGAGATTGGCACAGAGAAACAATAGCAGCAACTAGTTCCTCTTCTCCTAGTCCATCATGCTTCCTATCAAGAGATGCAAGTGAGTGTAGAAGATAATTCAGAATTCTGGCCAGAATCTCGGGTCCCTGAGTACGACACAACTCTTCATTGTTCCCAGGATGTTGAATAGCAACTGAGATAATTCTAAATACAGGTGCAGCAAGAGTAACTGTGGACAAAGACAATGGATGATTCCCTGGACATGGCTCCAAGCTATCTTTATTCACGTTGCTAACAGTCAGAGGAAGCAGAGACATGGGTCCTCCATGAGCTAGGGCCCAGAAGGACTCCACTGGCTTCATTCTCGTGGCAACATGGACTTGTCCAAGGACCTCAGCTGGTCGCCTTAGAGTGCCTTAACAAAGAAAAGAATAAAAAGCAGATTAAAAAGACTTGTTCAAGCTACAGTAAAACGTTAAAATGACTATTTCCCGTCTCATAGCTGGAAAAAGAAAGGACAAAGTTTGTACGATAACGGAGAAGAAGCAAAATGACGAAAGGAATTTATGAAGGGAAAAGGAAATCATGGACAGAGAGAGCAAATCAAAGACAGAGATAACGAATCAGCCATAAGAATCTGATAAAATATACTAAAGCATATCAAAACGATTTCGGGAATTAACGTTATCAATTTTTTAAACGGCATTTTGATTTTAAACTTTATTAAAAGGGAGTATATATATATATATAGGCACCTGCTGCTCCAGAAAGTGAAGCATCTGGGCAAAACCGCCCACTCAGCAGACAAGGGTGGTAAAGCAGGTGAGTGTATCCTCCGATCTCTGCATCCAAAAGACTACTTTCATCTGCACTATTACGTACATATTCATTTGTAGCTAACCAAGGGAGGCCCGCCCCATTGCCAAAACAAGGCAAAAAATCCCCACCTCTAGAAGCCAAACGCGCCATTCTTTCAGGACCAATCGGTTCCTTAAATATATAAACTGGTCCAACCTCCGCAAAGAGAGGACACTGTCGACGGCGACGTTGTAGGCCAGCCATAGTAGGAGGAGGATTTGTGCCAATGCAACAAAAAGAGAGGGGCTTGGATATACGAGGAAAATCAAAAGGACGGCTTTCATAGAGGGATCCATCAACATACAGCCGTAATTCACTCTCTGCTTTCCCCAAAAGTCCTTGCTTGCCGCTATGCTCGAGCCCAATAAAATACCAACATTGCGGCTTAAATGCATGGGTAAAATGCAGTGACGACTTTCTTCCTTTCCCACTACCACTCTCAACCACCAGAAACTGAGCATGGAAATATGCTTCTATTCCCTGATTATCAGCGGACAAAAAGCTGAACAAACGTGGCATATGAGCAGTACCCTCACCAGCGAGTGCACTCGCAGCCGCTGCAGCTGACATTGCGGATGTTTTCCCTGACTTGGCTGCTGCGGCAGCAGCAATTGCAGCTGCGGCAGTTGCAGCATTTAATGTGTCAGCAAATGATTCAATATAGATCCATGTGGCAAACGCGTACCCATTTGTAAAGGGCCAACGACTTTCTCCGGGACCAAGTAAACCAGAGCTCTCACCATCAAATTCAAAAGTACAAGCAGGTCCCCTTGATTCCTTCCCACTCATTACCTTCTCCAAAGCAAGCATCAATGGACTTGACCATGCTGTTGTTAGCGTGGTTTTTATAACCGTAAGCCACATATGTAAATCATCGACACTAAGGGAGTGTCCAGCTAAATGTTGAATGCATAAAAGAAAAACAGCAGCGGCATTCCATTTCATATCAGCGTCCTTGGAAATAATCTCTTTCACAGATCGCAACAAAACCCCTAATAACCCTGCCGTCGAACACATTGCTCTGTTTCTCGTGCATGACCGCAAAATAACAAGCAATCCCCGAACCATGCGAGTCCTCGGGGACATAAAATGAAGGCTATCACCTAAACCAGGTAGCCAAGGGATAAGCTCACCAGAAACAATCGCAGCACGGGCATTTAACATGACACTAGGAGGGTTGCTATCTTCATCCTCTTCAAAGCTCTCAACTCCACCCATTGTGGCAATAAGCGAATCAACAACAAGGAACGCAATGCCCTCGGGGTCCTCTCCAGAGTCAAAACTCTCAATACCGCTAACAACATTCTTCAGTTTTTCTAAGCTTTCAGGTTTCCCCATGATGGCAGAATCCACTAGATGCAGTAGTTCTGGAGAAACATTTGAAGTAGTCGCCTTTGGCTTGGGTTTCTGCGGGGAATATCCAGATTCCTGATGGTGGGAAGAATCCAGGCTACTTGCAGGCATGGAATAATCTGCCTCTCTCTCTGGTCCGGGGCTTGAAAGTCTGTCACTTTGCACATCCTCCATGGGCATCAAATCATACGCCTCCTGAGTCCCGGACAAGTGATAAGCAACCCCTTCGGTACCAGTACCAAACGAAGACCTCCCAACGTCGGAATTTGAAGTACTTACAGATTCCTTAACTTCACTCTGTGGTTCCTTTGCAGACTTCTCCTGATCTCCAAGAGAAACCTGTTCAAAATCATCATCCTTGAAGTCTCTACCACCAGCTGCATCATCCTCAGCAGTAAAACCAGAATCCCCTGTATCAAATGACTCTATCCTATTGGGACTAAGTAAATCAGGATGAGCTTCTGCGAGATTTCTCTCATCATCTTCTTCCATTGTGTTTTCAACTTAAAGGAGAGTGTACAGTCATAAACAGCAGCGTTTTCTCACCTGCCACATGTTGTTTATACATCAAGTTTTAAGTACATATCAATGCAAACACAGTGACTAAACCGAAGAATCGATATAAGATAATATACTCATTTCACTTGGATCTACTAACAAAGCAAAGCACTAAAGCAGAGATGGAACATGTACAGATCTTATCGATTTCGAAAATATATAAATACATTATGCGAATCGGAAGAGAATACGTACGGATCGGAGCGGAGAAATGTTTCAGATAGGGAAGCGAATCGGAAGCGACTGAGATGTGAAGTCCAGCGAATCTGGACGGGATCCTTTAATCCTAAGGAGGAGCAACTGTAGAAGCGAAGAATGCGAAAGATTCAGCAGACGATGAGAGTAAAGAGAGAGAGAGGGGAGACGATCGGAGAAGGGAGGCGACTTGGGCGCGCGGGAGAGAGAGAAAGGGAGGAGAGAGAGGTTGTGTCTGATTCAGGATTTTAGCAAACTTTAGTTTTCACACATTAAAAGTCAATTAACATTAAAGAATTTGATTTACATATTTCCAATCACGTATTTATTTCGCTAAGCAGTCCAATCATATGTTTAATAAATGTATTATACACTGTGGGCTGTATAGTAATTTATGGGCTTTACTTCAAACAGGCCCAATAACTACCTCTCGTTCTTTTTTTTCTTTTTTCTTTTTTTTTTGTTACTGACCTTAACCACCTCATGATCAAGAAAAATTTACAATCAAGAAGAACATAGAGTAGTATGTATGATTTTTCCTATTGTTGTAATCATTAAAGTCTTCAATTCCATCGTTTGTGAAGTCAGTAGTTATGATCCAAGACTAAAACAGTAAAACTATTACAGTGGCATGTTTTTTTTGACATCAGTGGCATGATTCATTTCATTAGTAGCACGTTACTATGACATTCATATCTAATTACTAAATTTTCAAAAAGCAAACAGATAGTTTTGATGAATGTTAAAAATGGAGTAACACATTTCTATGAAATTTAACTTTTGGTTATTCTTCTCTAATGGATTGAGATTTGAATATCTAGTACATCAAATGTGATCCACTAAGAGAAGTCATCTTATTATAAAGAAAAATAAATAGTATGGAAAGTACTAAGACGATGATGTAGTAGGTTTCTTGATGGGTACAGCATAGAGAGGTTTGGCTTTATGTAAAGTAAGACCAAAGACTTCACTCATGTCCATGTTTCCTGGGAAAACACCGTCTTGAAGTTTCCAGTCAAAGGAATAGAGAAGAGAGGCAAGCACCATAGGCGTTGTCTTCAATGACATTGAGATTCCCGGACACATCCTTCTTCCTGATCCAAACGGTATCAGCTCGAAATCTTTGCCTTTTACATCGATTTCTCGTAGCAAAAACCTCTCTGGTTCGAACTTCATTGGATTCTCCCACACGTTCGAGTCTCGTCCCATCGCCCATAGGTTCACGAAAACCTAATATTCACACATACAGAACCAATCCAAAAACTCTTATTTGATATCGCTTCCACACTTTCACGTATTTTGTAACCCAAACAACTCAAGTGAACCAAATATTATTTTGATTAATATCAACTAAGTTGAGTTTTTATTTAGGATAAGTATTAGTATATAGTTCTTTCACATTATTTTGTACATGTGAAACTGGACCAAAACCGAAGTAATCAATTTTTATTTTTGTTCAAACCGAACAGAACCAAATAAACTTCGGTTTCTCTCTCTTGCTGATAGATATCATGAACCGAAGAATTCGAACTGAACCAAACCAAATAAACCGTATACCCAACCATAAAGCTATGAGTCTATGACTTAGCTAACGTGCATCCCAAGTTAGTTAAAGGTAATGAAACAAGTATGAAATAAACCTGAGTGTTCTTTGGAACGAGGAACCCACATAAATGGACATCAGATTCAGATTTTCGAGGGATCAAAGGAGCTGGAGGATGCAAACGAAGAGTCTCTTTCACAATTGCTAGCAAGTAAGGCAGCTTCGGGATATCAGATTCTTGAACCTTACCGTTTTCACCTATCACTTGCCGTATCTCACTCTGAGCTCTGACCATCTTCTCCGGGTTACGGAGTAACTCCGACATTGCCCACTCCATTGTACTAGAGTTTGTATCGGTGCCCGCAACAAACAAATCCTGTCACAGAAAGAGGTCAGTCTGATGATAAAGCAGTCCAATTACATACTTTTATCACATAGTTTTGTCATTGTTGTTTTGCAAGACTTACGAGAAACATGTGTTTCATATCATTCATGGTGAACTCTTCTTCGTTTTGCTCTGTAATATCGAGAAGAGCATCTAACATATCGATACTTGAAGCCTCTGTTTGAGACAATCTTTTGGCCACACGATCATCAATAAATTTTTGGAAAACCCTAAACAGCCTCTCTATGCAGAGTGTTGCCTCTTTTCGGCTACCTTGTAAGTCAAGAAACCTCAGAAACCGGAAAACGTCTCCTGCGTTGGGTTTCCCATAGATCTCCAAAAGGTGAAACACCGTTTTGTGGAACTCGAAAGACGACGAGGTAGAGTTATACGTGGCCAAATCAACGGAAAACAAAGCATTTGAGATTATATTGAAAGATGTGACGAAGGAAGCACGAGCCATGTCAATAGCCTCTCCTCTCTCGCAAAATTTGTGTGCTAAGCTCACAAGTTCCTCCACCTTTCTCGTTCTTATAGATTGAATCCCGTCTAGGTTTTGCGGCGATAACAAATTTTGCACTATTATCTTCTTCAGAAACCTGAAGATGCATACAAAACATAACTTCATCAGAGTCGTGACTATTGTATCATGTGTAGTAATCAAAACAAATAGGAGTAATATGTATATACTAGTTTTGGACTTTGTTTTCTACAGAAATTTGCATCTTTATAACTCGGTCTATACTTTCAGGTTAAATTTTTGATTTTTCACATATATATAAATACGAAAATCATTTCAAGGAGGTTAGATTTTGGCTTAGTTTTTGTGGTTTATACAAGTAATTTTAATCACAGTTTTTTTAAAGACGTGATAATAATAGATAGAGTTATTAGTTTATTTATAGATTGGGTTATTAGTTTGATCAAAATAAACAAAGATAGTGTCATATATATATATTACCTCCAACGAGCCGACGCAGGAATCCAGACAACGGAATGTTTATGGTGATCAAAGGCTCGAACCGGATCGTTAAAGGTTCGAGCAGACAAGACATGGTCGTGTGTTTTGAGTGCCTCTTCGGCTGCTTCTGGTGAAGATATAACCACTGCGGTTAACCTTCCAAACTTTAAACTCATTATAGGTCCATACGCTTTCGAAAAGACAGCAAGTGATTGGTGAGGATTGAAGCCGAGTTGGAATATGTTTCCGACTAATGGCAGTCCCGGAGGACCCGGCGGAAGTGAGCCTTGGCCATTGCCGCCGTAGCTCCGAGTTCTCACGGTGGAGAAAAAGAAGAAAGTTACAAGAAAAAAGAGGACTGTACCCACCACGGCCGGTATTATTGAGAGTTCCATTTGCACGGATTGGAGAATGGCTTATATTATAACTCCATCATCATTTTTAAAGAGATATTATCTAATTTGGAGAAGCAAGTTCGCAAACTGTTCACGATGTTATTAGTTTGGTGATTTCCATTATTGATTATAACACCTAGAGACTATAACAAACTTGTGGATATAGACTTTTGTTTCTTGTCATGCAGATTTACGGAAAGTTTGAAGCTTATCTTCTTACCTAATTTCTGGCACACCTAGAAAATATATGGTTCAAAAAAGTTTAAAATGTTTAAACGAAGAGATATGCATGTATTGTATTCATTTAGCATATATAATGTTGACATCATCCGAATTAAAATCTGGTAAAACACTATATTGTTGAGAGGACACGATAATAGTTTCGACGAAGAAAACTATGAGATTCTGAAACTATGTATTGACACATGGAATATCAAGACATCAGCCTCTGGAAAATTGCGTGAAATGATGACACCAGTCACTATAGGTTTTAGTTTTCTTTATGATCCCAATACACACGTATTCCTATTGTTGTTTTGTGGTATAATTAAGAGTATTTGCACTCCATACACACACTAAACCTTATAATTAATGTGCATCTAAGTACAATTGAGAGAGTATTACAAACCAATAATAAAATGTGAAATGAAGAATGACTATGAATAGTTGCCCCAAAAAAAAAATGGAAGTCGAATGTCTATGAATTTATGCTATTGTGGTTTTCTTGTGAAATTGAAGCTCTAGTGATCCTCCGGTATTGGTTGAAGTTCCCTAACTATTAATGCTCCTTGATATTGGACTCATTGCTAATCACCTTTAAATCTATTAATCACCACACGTATCAAATTAATTAGGATTTGGCAGCTTAACCATGTGTTTAGGCATACGTTGCTCTCCTTATATATATCTTCACCGTCCGATATTCGGATTATTTTCTAAAGCTGATCACATGAACTGAACTAATTTTATTTAACGTAAATTAAGATTTTAATCTTTTGAGAAATTTTACTTCAAAATAAAGTGATTATTTTTATTAATTGTATAGAAACACACATTTACAAAGTATTAGATTTTTTCTCCATAAATTACATCAATATTATTGCATTTCATTTTTATTAAATCTATTATTGCATGCAGTGTCGAGAAAACAACAGTTAAAATTAATTAATAAAATCTCTGATCATATTAAGAAGAGCAACGGCTCGCCGTGGATCAACGAGCTCGATTCCATGGAAACCAGCATCGTCAAACTTCGCTTCAACCCTAACGCCAGCTGTAACCAACATATTCACAAAGTCTTGTTGATGATCAACCAACGTGTCTCCCCCGTAACCAATCACAAGACACCTCCCCAAACGCCCCACTTTCTCCTTCTGCGGCAAGTAACCTATCGGGTTACAGTACCTGTGATCCCTATCAACGCCTTTGGGTAGAGAAAGCTCCCACATGGCGTCTATCGCCGGCACCGGCATCACCGGGTCGGCGAAGTTCTTCAGCTCCGCCTTCGTCCTAGTTTTCCCGCCGTAAAACGGTTGGTAAAACACGCACCCGTCAATTTTTAACGGCGTTAGGTCGTGGTCTAACGACTTGAGCGCGAGCTGGAACGCCACGTTGGCGCCGTTGCTGGAGCCGAAGATGTAACACCTCGAGAAGTCTGCGTAGTCTCTAAGCCACGGCTCGCCGTTAGCTGCGTCGACGGCTTGTCGTTTGACCCAGAGGAGGGCCTCCAATGCGTCGTCGTATTGGGTTGGGAGTCTGTGTTCCGGAGCGAGACGGTAGTTGACGGAGACGATGATCACCGTTAGCTCGCTTGTCATCTGAGTGCAGCCGCGGTTGTTGGCGGGGGAGTTGGCGGGGTAGAGGACCCAGCCGGAGCCGTGGAGGTGGATGAGGATAGGGAGGCGTGCGATGGTGGTGTCGTTGGAAGGGAGGTTGGTTGGTCGGAAGATGCGTACGGTCACGCCGGTTTCGTGGTTGATGGTGACGTCTTTGGAGGCGGTGAGTTTTCCTGGGGACGGGTCCGGGTCGGGGTCGATTATTGGATACTCGAAGTTGCGCGTGCAAGAGCCGTCCGGGTTGATTGAGAGGTTGAGGTGCTTGTATGGATCAAATGCGTCACGTGACATGGTTTTTTAAAACTAATGTGATTAAGAGGAGGTTAGTTTAGGATATAAGCTTTGATTAGGAAGAAGTGTTTGGAGTTATTTAAGTTTTTTTTTGGTGTGCTTATGTTTATTGGAGCTTTTAAGGTGTGTGTGATTAGCATTAATGCACGGACTAATTTGAGGTCATGATGTTGCTTAGTTTTAGCGAGATCTGACCAGTTCAAGGATGTTTTTTTTATTATTTTTGTCTAAATGTGGAATAATGTTGTTCGCTTAAGTTTTTTTTTGTCTAAATTACATGGAATTAGAAGGCATTTCATTGCGTGCATGTAAATGATTGATTAAATGGTCTAATTAACACATCAAGATTTCAAGCTTTTGACAAACTCATCTCTGAAAAATCTATAGCTGCATGGTGAAATTGAGGATGAAGAGTGTATATAGTGTCTCCAGTGCAATATCCAAAACATCAATGTAGTTTTGCTATTTAGAATATGGTATTGTGTTCAAGATTGTATCGTTTGCTGACGAATATCATAATCTGAAATGTTGATAAAACTTAGTTGACCGATACATGGTTCTAAATGATCTAAGAGCACCTCCATTGAAGGTTCTCAATGGGGAATTCACACGCAAATCGAAAAAAATATATAAAAATACACTTTTTGCGTACGTGCATCACAAGAGTTCATGGCTATGAACCTGTATCATGACAAATTACGGATTCTACTGACACGTGGCGACTTGGTTTACTAATTTTTTTTATAAAAAAAAAATCAAGCGAAAAAAAAATATTAAACACAAGAGGCTCAGAGCATCCACACCAATGAACCCCCTCTTGGGGTTCATTTTTTCCTTTTTTTATTATTAAATTTTTTTGTTTTTCTTTTTTGCTTTTTTTAAAAAAAAAAAAAAAAAAAAAAAAAGATAGACCAATCGCGGGCCGCCACGTGTCGTGTGGCCCGCGCTACAGTGATGAACCTCATGAGAGAGGGGATCACTAGAGAGAGTTTTAGGAGAGAGAGGATTATAAGGTTTTATTATTTTAATAGTTTTTTTGTGTTGAAAAATGTGTGAACCCCCCGATCTAAACCTTTGATGGGGGTGCTCTCACTATAGGGATGCCCTGACTTAACATACGTTTCATTTTTGATCATACAAATAGTAGATAAGATTCAAAACCATTATTACTTATCGGATCATACATATTTGGATAAACACAAAGTGAAATGCGATGCAACTCGCTTAAGTACATAACATATTGCATGCATAATTGATTATTATGGTAGATGATTCATAATGACATCATTGGCCCAGACCACACTACATGTTGGAGGAGGGTGAACAACTCTTCATAAAAGCCTCGACAGTGTCATACAAAGCCTTGGCTTTCCCCTCATCAAACAACTCACACGCATGAAACCCATCTTTATCAAACCTCGTCTCCACGTGCACACCACGTGCCTTCAACATCTCCGCCACCTCTCTCTGCCGATCAACCAACGGATCACCACCGTAACCGTTAACAAGAGTCGACGGAAACCGTCCCATCCTCTCTCTCTCCTCTCCCCCACTGCTCTTAACCGGGTTACTGTACACGTGGTCACGATCCACACCGTCGGGCAAACAAAGAGACCAAAGCAAGTGAGTCGCAGCCAACGGACAGATCCTGTCGTCTCTAAGACGCGACTCCGAGTCCGAAGTCTCCACGCCGCCGAAGAAAGCTTGGTTCATTATCAGCCCTTGGATCTTGACGGGAGAGAGATCTTTGTCCACGACGCGTAACGCGACGCTGTAGACGATGTTCCCACCGGAGCTCGAACCCATGACGAAGCATTTCGAGAAATCTACGGCGTCGTTTTTAAGCCAGGAGTCGCCTCCGTTGCGAGCTTGGTCACGGANGTCTCCACGCCGCCGAAGAAAGCTTGGTTCATTATCAGCCCTTGGATCTTGACGGGAGAGAGATCTTTGTCCACGACGCGTAACGCGACGCTGTAGACGATGTTCCCACCGGAGCTCGAACCCATGACGAAGCATTTCGAGAAATCTACGGCGTCGTTTTTAAGCCAGGAGTCGCCTCCGTTGCGAGCTTGGTCACGGAGCCATGAGATAGCTTCGACGCCGTCGTCGTAGGCCGCGGGGAGACGGTGTTCGGGGGAGAGACGGTAGTCGACGGAGAGGATCATGGTTTGGAGACGGTCGGCCATTTTGGTGCAGGATGCGTGGAAAGGAGCGGAGGCGGCGCTGTAGAGGATGAAGCCTCCGCCGTGGAAGTAGACGAGGATGGGGAGTTTTGTTCCCGGGGGAGTGTTGTGGGGCTTGAAGAGACGGATGAAGGTTTTGTTGTTTGGGTTTAGAGGGATGTCTTTGGAATAAGGGTCCGTTGGGGGTAGTTTGGGGAAGTCACGGTGTCTGGTGAGAGAACCGTCTGAGTTGAGTGTGATGTTGAGGAACTTGTATGGGTCGCTTGAAGGTGGAGGAGCTTCCATGGATAGATGCTTCAGAGAGAGAGAGAGAGATGGAGATGGTTTCTGTGGTGAAGGGTGTGTGTGTGATTATGAAGAAGGATTTGGAAACTGAAGATCTGAGAGGTTTGAAACGATCAACGTTTTTTTAATTCAAAGTTGTAGTTGGATTTGCCTAGATTAGAATGCTTTCCATTAATAGTGGCTTTTAAGATCAGACTCATTATTACATTTGACAGCAAATCGTAGAAGCAAACCTAATATAACGGCTCGTATCTTTTGTGTACCATAATAGTCAGACCCAGAAGTTAATGTGCATTAACAATATGACAACCAAATCGTAGAAGCAAAGCTAATATAACGGCTAATAGTCGACCCAGGAGTTAATATGTGCATTAACAACATGACAATCTCTTTTTTTTTCCCATAAATATCCAACGAACTTGTTTTTTCTTATGTTGCGGTGAGTCTAATCTCCTCTTGTATTGTTTACTCAAGTGCTTATTTTACTCAAAAGCATGATTTAGAGGAGTTTAGAATAAGAATTCAAAATACAGGACTGTTGCCATTTTTGTCACTATGAACTTATCAGGTACAGGCAAATGATTCAGAAGCAGACCGCTTTGATTGATAGATTTATCGTTGTGTGCCAACCAAACGTTTTCTATGGTATTTGTTTGTCGACAGAAAAACGTTTTATCAAATAAAAAAAAGGGTAGGCATACTTTTTACTAAAACCATTGGTGGAAAGACCAAATCCAAAGATACAATAACGTGTCTAAACGAATTTAGAAATGGGAACAACCATGTATGAGTTCTTTCACTTGTGCACACACTCCTAAATCTCACTTGACCAGAAACAGAAACCTCCTCCTTAGTAGATTGCCACATCCAGATAATCTCCAATCTACAAAAAAAAAAGATGATTAATTGCGCAGTTATAGCTTACTCTAAAAAAAGATGATTGTTTTAACTCTATACCTCGAAATGAAGGTCAGCGAGTGTTTTACTGTCGTCTGGTTGTTTTCGGTTTGGATAAGACATCGTCTGGCCAACCTTTTTATCAATCAACAAGATCACTCCACTGAGTTCTTCGATTCATAAGCAAAACATCAAGTAAAGCGATAACAATTTGAATCTGAATGCATTGATTTATGTTCTATTAAGTCTCAAAATCATAAGCAGCATGAGAAGATGAATAATCGATGCTAATATGATTTGAGCATGATTCATAATTAAAGTAATAAACTATAACCAAAAGACAAACTCTCAAGTCTCAAGGTAGTATAGAAACATTACCCAATCTCTGAATCATCGATGGATTATAATTAAAGAGTGGCAAAAATTATGTATGAATGGGAAGAACAAAAAAAAAAAAAAAGCTAACCTGTCTGACAATAAAGCGGCCATTTTTGTCTGGATAAACAAACGCAAAAGACAACCTTGCATCTCTTCTCCTAGCTGCTACAGAAACTTCTTTGACCTGAAACAAAAAAACAAAAAATATAGTTTTTACTCTCTATGAAATTAGAAAAAAATAGACACAACAATTAGTGTAGTAAATAAAATAAAAACGTACCAAATCTGTTAACTCACGAAGATTGGCATCTTTCCAAGTGTAGATTTGAACTTCATCCTTTGGTTCTTTGCCTCTCACAGCATAATCTTCCTTCGTATGATGACCACCACTCTGCAAAAACAATAGACACTCAAACACAATGGCATAAGAACTTGTAATCTCAATCATCTAAAGCTAAGAGACGTTAAAAAGGCGGTACCTTGGTGAAAACACGGAGAAGCAGGGGACAAGTCTGCAAATTCGAAATAGGAATCAGTGAGAGAGTGCAAATAGAAACCCTAGTAAAAAAGTTAATTAATTAGAAGATTTTTCCACCGATTATGAATCGAATACAAACCTTCTCGCGATCGACAGGTTCGGTTTTAAGGCGAGGAGGTTGATTAACGCCTCTAGGAGGAGGCGGTAATGGTCTCCCACCACCTTGTCTTCTCGCTGTTTCAGCCATCTCTCTCTCTCTCAAAAGTCTTCAACGACAGTGTTGTAGTAATATCGCAGAGAGTAATTTAGGCCCATACTTATTACAATACTGGGCCTCTTTTTACATAACTATTGGGCCTATATATTGTTTCTTTGTTAAGGGCCCTTTTATGATCACGTAGGTAAACCTTAGCTATTGATTTGCGTCCACTATGACTCATTAAGCTTCCGACGTAGGTATTTCAGTCTCTAACTAAAAATAGAAACGTTGCTCAAAGAAAAAAAATTGAAACATGCAACATATATTAGTTTAACGGAAAAAAAAACAATATTCTTTTAAAGGGTATCTCACATATTTCTTCTTTATTTGATTTTCTTTGAATATCCTATTGTTGATCAATACTTTTGAAATGTACACATTGGAATGGTTAGCTAACAATACGCAGAAGAAAACATCGATACCAGTCTATAATGAGATTTCACGTGTCCTCCTAGGATCCTACTATATGCTGGTTTTACCAATTGCTTTTAGCTTCCTTCTTATTATAGTAAATTGGGAAGAAAAGCATATGACATAATTAAGAAAATGGGGTCACTGATTGTTTTTATTTGTCCAGAGAGCGTCGTATTCAAAACGATAAGGCGCAATGACCCTACACTCACATGAAGCTGCAGTGCTCTTTCCACGATAATGTGAGGATGTTTAGTTTTTCAATAAACATACATTGGTGAGGAAATTAATATAAAAGTAAAGATATTACTATAAAGTGAAAGATTATGAAACAACAAAGACTACTGGATCTTCTTTGCTTTTCTTTCCGAATTTGGCATGCCCCCAACCCACATCTTCACAAATAAATCATTATTCAATATGTTCTTTTGTTTCTGCGACTCTATGAGACATGTATTGATGTTTCATTTACATGGCTTGTCTTTTCTTTTTCAAAGGAAATACTAAATAGTCGAGTACTATAATGCTTTCTACCATGTTCTATGAAACTCGTTCGAAACATATAATATTGTTTTATGTTATCAACATACGACTTTTTCCTTTTCTTTTTTTTTTTTCCTTGGATTGGACACAACGAGGATGGTTTGGTTAGTGTCCTTTATTTTCCTTTTGCATGTACAGTATAATAGCTTTGGAAACATATAGACCTACAAGGTTTCATTTTCTTTAACAATTTCTAATTTCTTAAACAGCTTTATTAGTGCATTTAGAGGTTCTTAATTTTGTTGAGGTGTATAAGCCATAAGTGTGGTATAACTCCAAATTCGTGGAAAAAGTTGTTGAGAAAGAAAACTAAATAGTTATGTTTGTAATAGGCAATGCATGGTTATAACTTATTTTATGACTTGCTAGACAATGTTAAAACCTTAGATTCATGATAGGTTATATAAATATATAGGTTAAATAAAGATGAGATATATGGAGTATATGATATAGACAGACATATATACGTTTTAATGTCCACGTATATGGGTCAACTTGATTTATGAATTATATGATTATATAGATGTTAAGTAGTTAACCAAAAACTATATTTGTTTGTTGTTCCACATTATCAATGAGTTCTTTTTCGTTTTCTAACTTATATGTTATTCCTCTAGTAGATGGGAGATCTTTTTTTTAAGAAATAGGAGTATTTAATAGAAGCGAAGAAACATAAAAGTGATGGATCCATTGATTTAACTTTTTAATTGTGAAACCTCGGACGAAGGAAGAGGATATATTGTTTTTCTAAATCCGTGTAAAAATTATGAGGTTTGAATATTTTTTCTTACAAGAAGACCATAAAAGACTGACACGTTGACTGACATGTTAAAATGATTACATGTGACGATTATAGCTCGTTAGCAAAAGCTAATGCGATGTTTTTAGTTGAGGCCGCAGAAACTATAGCTATAAGTCCCGAAGGAATATTCGATAAAATTGGAACAATTCAAAAAAGATTAGCATGGTTCATACTTCATACACAAGGATGATATGTACAAACAGAAAAATAGTCCAAATTTTAAAAAGTTTAAACAAAAAAAACTTATAAACTATAAAGTGTGGCTTCATCAACAAAAGAAAAATTGATATAATCATTCAGCTATTAGCAACAAAAGTTTAAATCAAATCTTGTAAACAAAATCAAAGAATATAGGGAAATATTTCAAATACTTTCTAGTGGAAATAACGTAAGCTTCATTTATAACACGTGTTTATTTTATTTTATTTTTTGTCACTGATAGTACGTGTTTACCTAACTTCTACTATTTTTAAACCAAATATGCGAGACCTCCAAAAACAATGATGAATTTTCTGCTCTTCTTTTGAACAATTAAATTTTAAAATATTGGTAACACTTAATCAACTTTGTTCAATATAGATTATTTATAAATTCACGGAGATTTAAGTTATTCTACGGCGATCAAGACATATATAAAAATCTAAGAGATCAATGTTTCACCCGAATAGACACAATTTTGTATCATCATGTAAGCAAAAAAAAAAAACACTTACTGGCCATGGACATGAACTATAACATCTGAAAAATGAATTCGCTTGAAATTGAAATATTGAGCTCTTTGAAGAGCAAAGAAAAATATAATTATTATTGTAAATAATGGAACTTCTAGTGGTCCCACTGTTACAAGCAGATTTCCATTCTGAGGTATCTAACTAAAACTACGAGAACATAGTTATCATTTTGCTCCGTCAAAAATTGACAGCATTCCTAGTTTATTTATTTATATTTTATGTTACTAAAAAATATAATTTGTTGCTATTACATGCTTATATTACAGTCAAGAAAACGATTAAAGATATTTAATCATGAGTGAATTGGATAGAAATCCATAAGAAAATGGGAAATTAAGGATTTTCCATTTTTTGTGGGGAAAATAGTAATGCGTGGGGAGGAGAGATAAAGGAATAAATAGGGTATGTAGTGAATTATGAGTTTTAGTGTGTGTATGGAGTGCAAATACTCTTTAATCATTCACCATATTAACCTAACAACCAAAATATAAAGTGTACATATATATATATACATATATAACACGTTTTCATGTACGACAGATATATTCCTTTGATCTATACCTAAAAAAAAATTACCAATTCTTGAGAAGAGAAGAAATCAGAATCAAGAAAAGGAGAGAGAAAAAAAAATATGGGGAGAGGGAGAGTAGAGATGAAGATGATAGAGAACAAAATCAACAGGCAAGTGACCTTCTCAAAAAGAAGACATGGTTTGTTGAAGAAAGCTTATGAGCTCTCTGTTCTATGCGATGCTGAAGTTGCTCTCATCGTCTTCTCTAGCCGTGGCAAGCTCTACGAGTTCGGCAGTGTCGGGTATCTTTTGTGCTCTTTACATTCAATAAAGTTAGGTTTCTTATAAAACTGATTAAATGGGATCTTTTATTACTCACTAGCTATATCGTACGATTCAAGATCTGATCAAGCTTTTGTCTAGTGGGTATTTTTAAAGACTTTGTGTATTTTATCCAAAGGTAACTAGGGTTCATCGTTATACTTTATCTCTGTCTCTCTCTCTCTCTTGGATCAGTTATCATATGCCAATATATCTGTCCGTACGTTCTACTTTGTTTTTTTTTTTTTTATAATTTTATTTATTTGGATCTGGATTATTTTCATCTTGAAGATGCCAAAATCCAAATGGGGTTTAGAGATAAAAGTTAGGGCTTCTTTTGTTGGTCTTGGTCGTAAGAAAAATCATTATACATAAGTACTGAGTTTTAATGATCACTCGCGTGTAAAAAATTTCTAAATAAAATAATTTGCAGAGTTGAAAGAACAATTGAACGGTATCGTCGTTGCAACAACTGTTCTCTGACCAATAATAGGCCGGAAGAGTCTACACAGGTATGTTATACGTACTTTCTTTTATACAATAGACGATAATTACATTTATTTATAACGTCTCTTACTTTCAAATTCTCTTGCTACTATATGCATTTCACTATATAATTATATATGGTGCAGAATTTCTGTCAGGAGGTGACAAAGCTGAAAGCCAAATACGAATCTCTTGTTCGCACTAATAGGTCTATTAACAATTTTCTAAGCCCTTAAAATTATATACTAATCATGATATTTCTTTTTCTAGTAATCATGATCTTCCGTTATACATATTATATATATAGAGCTGGATAGTTGATGTGTGTTGATATTCATGCTAATCATCAAAGGCATATGCTTGGAGAAGATCTTGGAAAAATGGGCGTGAAGGAACTACAAGCATTGGAGAGGCAGCTGGAAACCGCTCTTACTGCGACTCGGCAACGCAAGGTTGTATCAACTGACCGGTCTTGTTTCATTTACAGTCATAAAATTAAAGAAGAATTAATCATGCAACTGTTGTACATGCAGACACAAGTCATGATGGAAGAAATGGAAGCTCTTCGGAGAAAGGCAAGTCATAAATGTTACATAGGAAATTGCTACATGTATGTGTATATATATATATATATATACGTTGTAATAATTAAATATACTTTGAAATTTCAGGAGAGACAACTCGGAGACATAAACAAACAACTCAAGATTAAGGTTTTCACTTTAGATCTCAAAATTATGATTTTCTAGAATTATCACTAACTCATATATGTTTTTAATATGTTTGTAACAATAGTTTGAGGCCGAGGAAGGTCATGTTTTAAAATCGTTTCAAGACTTATGGCCAAACTCGGCAGCATTGATGGCCGGTGATCCTAACAATTCTGAATTTCCGGTTCAGTCGTCTCATCCTAGTTCAGTGGATTGCAACACCGAACCCTTTTTACAGATAGGGTACAATAATTTATCATTTTTTTTCTTCGTGTTGTGAAAAATGGATAGAATTGCTTATATATAAGACTAGTTTTGTACTTGGATATATTAGGTTCCAACAACATAATTACTACGTGCAAGGTGAAGGGTCTTCGGTCTCAAAGAGTAACGTGCCATGTGAGACCAATTTCGTCCAGAATTGGGTTCTTTGACCTTTTCTTGACTCCGTCACGATGCCACTGTCTCGCCAATTTCATCTCTAAAGTTGGATTTTTATAAAAACATATATTCTAGATCGTGTGAATGCATTCGCATGAATGGGTTTATTAAACGTTTTCCTTTTCTTTGTTCTTATCTTAAACATTTTGTTGGGATTACCAACACTCAATTTCTTTCGAATATGACATACCAAAACAATAAGGTAAGCCGTAACTAAGTATGAACAAATCATAAACTGCCACGTAGTAACCTTGGAATAAAGTACGATGGTGAAGTGGGACCTTTTTTGTGAGTTTGGCAAAGCTTCACTGGTCTGTCTTTTCCAAGGGTCCTCGTATTATTGATTTTTGTTATTTTTAGTATAATTTTAAAAGTTTCGATTTTAGTACCCCACCCATTTATCAATATCTAATGGGCTATTATTGCAATGAAAGTCCTTTTATAAACAGATCCTTACATAATAAAATTAATGGGCCAAAATCTGTATCTAAAAAGCATATGCCGATCCAATATCTCATTCATGTATATTAATCTTTTTTCTTCTTCGTCTGTCAACGTATATACATAATCTATTATCCAAACAACTATTTATACTATTATTTTCGAAATAATTTTCATTTTCGAATTCTCCCGTCAAAATTTATACTATTGATATCCTTAATATTTTTTATATATAATGTATTATTCATTTAAAACAAAATTTATATTAATAATATATGATTTATATGTTTTATTAGATAATTGATCATATAATAATAATAAAATATTCATAATTCACGGAAAATCATGTCATAGATACAAAACCCTTTCTTTGTTAGCGAGTCTTTATAGAGTCTGGATATATTGGTAACAACAAAAAATTAAAAAATAATTTTTTATAGAAAAAATAGCTCTTACATATAATTGTGATGTTATGCAGAAATAATGTTTTATATCATAAGAATTAAAAAATTTGAGACTAATTTTTTATCATTAAATATTAATCAATTACACATATTACATATATTTTTATTAAAACTTTATCATATATAAATAATTTGATGTTTGATTCAAAATATGTGAAATATAAAAAAAACTTACTATGCTGGTTTTTGAATTAGGAAACATAAACTAACAAGTATTTTTCAGACGATTATGTTCGCATATACATTCAAAACACCCAGTAGTTATATATATATATTTAAGGTGATTAAGTTGATTAATCATACTTTAAAACCCCCTATTTTGGTTAACTAATTTCAAAATTCGAGATCTAGTATTATATCATTTATAATTACGATTGTTGCTAAAAAAATATTAAATAAAATTAATAGTTTAATTACTAATGCTAGTAAAAGTTACATTTTCTAGAAGTAATTTGATTATATTAATCACAAACATATTTTTTGTTTGTCTGGTTAATCATGTTATTCCAAATTATGAGAAATATTACATAAATGATATATTACAGCCGATAATTCTTGTTTTATGAAAATTCATATCTTGATTGCATTACTCTGGACCGCCTAAAATTTATTTTTAACGGAACTCATTGCGCCGTATCAAAAGCTATATATAAAAAAATAGTCTCTAATATATATATGTGTGTGTGTCTGAATATAAACATATTTATGTGGCATTAAGTTAAAAAGTAAATCATCAGGAAAGTTCTAGCGTATGATTACTGTTCAGGTAATGTTTGTAACTTTACTATTATACATCCAAAGAAACCGTATAAATGAAGTGGCTCTCAAAGTTACCAATTCGAATTTCAGTGTTTAAATGAACTTTGATGTTGCGGAATGGACTGATCAAAGTTAATTAATTTTCCCGTCATTTCTGAAAGATTATGGATATATTAAGATCAGAAATTAATTAAAGTTATTCATGTAGGTAGGTTTAAGGTTTTGGTCGATATGTGCATGACACCGGACCACTGACTCTGAGTATACTTATATGACTGAAGTTGAAGAAAAAAGTAATCTTGAATCAATTTGCTCATGAGTTCTCTGTTGGCGGCAGTTGTTTAAAGAAAGATAGAGCATCAGATCTTTGGGGTGGGTACACTCTCAACCTGGGAGGGCTACGAGCAATTAATAAGTTACATATAGGTATTCCAGATGTGGAGGGAAAAAAAAGCCTAACTTGATATACATAATAATAAAACTTGAAAATGAACAATAAACGTAACTAGATTCTACAGAGCCAAGTGTATAAAAAGAACATAATAATAGATACATAACAGAAGCAGTTCAGTTTTGACGAAGAGAGAAAGAAGACAACAAGAGAAGCAGCTTTAGAGTTTTGTTACTTGTACTTATACATTCGCTGCCAAGGCTTTTCTTACTTAGTTTTTTTTTTGCTTTATTTTTTTTGTTTTTCTATATGGAAGAGTGGTTTGTTCACTTTCTTGTAGAACAAGGTAACCCGATGAACAATTGTGTCTCTACTTCAGAACTTGGGCTACTCTCTTCGTCACCTTTTCCACTTTCTTGGTTCTTATTCGACCAAACTTCGTTTTCATGAGATCTCCACTGTAATAAAGAAATACTTATTAATATATACACAAGACTAATAGATGCAAAAGAAAAAAAAAGATAGAATAAACACACAGACAATCAAGGTCATGAGTCATGACAATCGAATAACCCAAAAAAAGAACCAAACTTTTAACTATCATAAGCAAATAAAAGAAAACGATGTGCAAGTGCAATCCTAACTAGAGACCATATGAGATATTTGTTTTTAGAAGAAAACTATGTGCAAGTGCAACCCTAACTAGAGAAACATAGGATATATTCGTTTATAGAATATATTGTACCTTTTCAGCGAGCTTCTTGTTGTCTGCAGCTAGAGCTTTCTCCTGCAAAGTTTTTTTATACAAATTGTAAAAAGCAAGCACAAGAAGATTATCAAGTTGGAGTATTCCACAACTTGAGTCTCATTACCTTTTGCTTGAGCTGCTCAATTTGTTCCTTAAACAGTTGAGTCTAAAAGAGATGAGTAACTAAGTTAGAATCATGAGTGCTTTTATAAGAATAATAATGTGGGGATGATATAAATACCTTTCTTGCTCGAATACATTTGACACTTTTCTCAAGTTGTTGCTCAATTTGCTGCAGCTCCTCTATCGAACATGATCCTATGCCTTCTCCCAAGAGTTTACTAATTAAAGTAAGAAAATACTAATATGATCAAACTCTTATTATATGCATATAGAGTAATTCAAGTCAAGAATGTGTGTGTATTGGATCACTAACCGTTTGGAAGCTTCAAGTTGTTCAATTTTCTTCATCATGTTTGCCGCCTCATGTTTCAAATGCTGTTGGTTATATCACAAAATGTTATTGCATGTGATTACCTTAAATATGTGGCTTGACAATAGTGACAGTTAGTACTAATAAGTGACGTTGAGATTATATACGTACTATATACGATATTTCTTTGTTAAGCCAATTTATTTTTGTATTGAATAAAGAATTATACGATATCATAATTAACCTGCAAATTTTCTTCAGAAACCGGTTTGGTGCTGACTCGATCCTTGGTATGCCTCAGATAACGATCTATGGTATCTTGCATACTGTTAAAACATTGAAAATAGTTTCATAGATTAAGTTAGAACAATGCAAGGAGCCAAATCAATTGTTAAAAAACAGACAAGATAACATAAAAACTTTCTTAGGTGAAGTTATCACAAGTCTTAAGGACATAACTTAAAAAGTCGTGTACTATATGTGATTTTTCCCCAACATTTTGGAAAACCAAAAACATGTGAGTATCTTTACTTAAAGTTAAGTTAGGTTGAGAGAAAGAAGTACAACAAACCGTCTGAAACATCTGATCAAAAGCTGGCTTTTCTATTTACAGATGTAATGATTCATCAAAAGTACATTTGGTTTCCCTTCTACCTAACAGTACAAGATTACTTCTTTCTTATTACATTTAGATGCTGTCATGAGATTTGGATGCAAAATCCGAAATAGTAGCACCAAAACATGCAAACTTAACTGCATAATATTAAGAATGAGCATGAATTGAAACATGCATGATTTATCAATCAGGATTGGTGAAACAATTTCCTAATCGGCACTAATAGCAATATATGATTTTTCTTAAAGCGATAACAAATCAGATTAATTATACCAGATTGAGTAGCATCTCCTGCCAAAAGAATACTAATTGCAACATAATTATGATTTCTGAATGAACTTAAGAGAATGTTTAATTCAAACTCAAGGAGTTGTGATCATGATCTCTAGTAATCAAATATTTACATATATATAACAAGTGCAAAGTATTTCAAATTCTTTGATATTTTAAGTTTTATCATAACTCAGAAACAAAATTATGTGAGAAGGACATATCAGAGGATTAAACAAGATGATGTACTCGTTAAAAAAGAAACAAATAAGATGATGTAATTAATTTTACTTTATTAATAGCCCTACAGTTGTAGAAACCAAGAAACTCACTTAACACTCTCTAATAATAAGCAAACGTCAAAGAGATTTGATTCCATAAACAGCCAACAGATCCAGATACAGTATAAACCAAGGATATAAACAAAACTTTTTTCTCTCTCTTTCTCTGTAGATGATATATATAAAAAAGAGAACGTACTTGGAGCTTGCGAATTCATAAAGTTTTCCCTTAGGAGAGAAGATAATCAGAGAAACTTCAGCATCACAAAGCACTGAGAGCTCAAAGGCTTTCTTCAACAAACCATTTCTTCGCTTTGAGAAAGTAACTTGTCTGCTTGTAGCATTCTCTATTCGCTTCATCTGAGTTTTTCCCCTCACCATCTCTTTCTCCTTGTTTAATTTCCCTGTCACAGTAAAAAATATCTATATTTATATACTTTTTGTGCTTTTTTTCTTGGTTTATTGAAGAGAACATAAGATTAATGGTGCAACCACCTCGATAACAAGACTAAGTCATACACATAAAACGAGCCATTTTTCCCCTGGGATTTGATTTCTTTTTTTTTTTTTGTGTGTGTGTGTGGGAGGAGATTGATTAAGTCAACGAGAGATGAAGATGATTAAGTACCCAAAAAGCAAAATGATATAAAGTACACATCTATTAGTTTGTGACATAGATTGCTTTAAAACGAATGAAAGATGCAACTTTGATGTTATTTTGCTCTTGGAATTAATTGAAAATATGCAACTTTTCGTGAGATTTAAGCCGAAACAAAACAAAAACATGACAAAACGCAGATATAAAACATCAAATCGAAAGAAAAGCGGATCTATCAGACTGATCCAAGATTAGAAAGCAAAAAGTAAGAAAGATCATGAAGAAAAGATCTTACCGGTGACCAAAAGGATTAATAAATATAGAAACCTAACCACGAAGCTTGTGAGGAGATTAATAGAAGAGTGAGCTAAGAAGCAGGATTGTGTATAAATAGGAAGATATGAGAGACTATATAAGCATTAATGGAGGAGCTACGAGAATAAAAGAGAGAAGATGATCAAAACTAAATTATCTGAGAAAGGAAGGATCTTTTTATGGAAGTAACAAAAGAAGTAATAGCTTTCCTCGTTTCATCTATTTGTGTGTAATAAAAGAAACAAGAGACAAAACTCACACTCTCCTCTCCTCTCTTTCTGCTTTCTCCTTAAAAGGATCCTCTTCTCCTTGCAGTTAATGGTTATGATAATGGGGTGGAACAATTATTTTCCCTTCAGCAAAAAAAAACAATAATTTTCGTTTTATTTATCTTTCTTTATTAAAGTATTAAAATAATAGCAAAAAAGTTAGAGAAAATAGTAATATGTGTCGCAAATATGATGGTCGCTTGAAACCTCATCTTTTTCTTATTTTGGAAAAAAGCCTTAAGAAAGACCAAAATAGCATATTTTGGTATATATGGAACTATCTCCATACACATCTTTTTCCCTTAATAAATATCTAGAATTGACGTATTTGGCTGTCAAATAGCTTAATAATATTATCAAAAAGTATTTTTGTTTAAATGTGTGTGGACACAAACACTCTTCGTACTATTTATTATATGATAATGCATGTAATTAATTTCAAATTTAAGAACACCTTCAATCTCATTCGATATTTAATTTTAAAATCAGTCGTAAAAATGCTCTAATCCTATTTTATTTTCTATTTCATAATATAGTAAACCCTTCAAAAACCATTTAGAAATTAGTGTAATTGTTTTTTAACCTTTCAAAATCATAACATGTCGGAAAAATATTCTTACCTGTCGGAAAAATATTCTTAACCCGTCAAAAACATATGATTAATATGTCAGACGCATATTCTGAATCCATCATAAATCAATTATAAACCCTTCAGAAAATTATTTTGAACCGTCAAAAACCAATTCTACATTCTTTAGAAATCAATTTTGAATTCTTCAAAAAATGTTTTTGATTCTTTTATCAATAAATTTTGAACATTTCATAAATCAATTATGAGCCTTTAAAAATTAATTTTTAACCCTACAGAAAGTGTTTCTAAATCATTCAGAAAATAATTTTGAACCCTTCAAAAAATGTTTTTAATTGTTTCTAAACCATTCAGAAAAAAATTCTTAACCCGTCAGAAAAAATTTTGAACATGTCAGAATTCTCTGAATCCTTCAGAAAATATCCTAAACCTTTTAAAATATGTTTCTAAATACTTCAAAAATTAATTATGAACCATTCAGAAAATATTTCTAGCCTCTCCATAAAATAATTTTAGACCCTTTAGAAAATGTTTGTAGTTGTTTTTGAATCCTTCAGAAAAATGTTTTTTTATAATTAAATTTCGAAACCAACAGAAATGTCCATATCAGCGTAACTGCAAAATTCTATAAGAACAAATGTGAGTTGTGAGACTAAGTTCATCAGGTAACTCAGTGATTATATCTATTTACAAATTGTCAATATCCTATTTGATGTAAACAACTACATCCCAAAATACTTTTATTGTTTTAATAAGATGTTTATAAATATATTAACTTTTGTTAGAGCTAAATTTAATTCTTTTTAAGTATATATTTTTATTAATAATATCATCCCATAAATTGAAAACATTGTCTTTTCTATTCGATGGACTATTGTACATTGATATTTTTTTCTTCTTTTTTTGTCAAAAGACAAATAGATTGATGTAACATTGTTTACATCAGCACATCATTTACAAGGCTTATGAGTTACTATACTTTATTTTAATTGTAAACTATTAAATTTGATCATATAGCTTAGCTCCAAAAAACATAATTAACCCGTTTCAGAAAATATTTCTGATTTCTTCAAAAACTGTCTCATTTTTTCACAAATGATATGTCGACCAATGTTGCCCTCTCGTTTAATGATGTTATTTGATATTTCAAGAATTATCTATCAATCGTTTGACAATTAAAAAAAAAACAGTCTATTGTGATCTCATAAAAGTATTCATAAGGTTTATGAGGTCTATAACCATACTTTGCTTAATCGTAAACTATTAAATCTTATCATATAGTTTAGCTCCAAAAAAAACACAAGGTTTACTCTATAAATTGAATAAAATTTTATTTTGTTATGAAGTTATTTTATTTTGGTGGAAAATGAAGTTTTCTATTAAAAATGGTCTAATGTTTTTTAAATTTGATTCCAATATAATGGCTAAAAATTATGATGCTTTAAAATCCAATGTGTTATGCACTTAGTCCATTATAGTTAAATCCAAACAAGCTTCGAACTATACATGTGACTTGTTCATATATGGTCAATGTGTTATGCACTTAGTCCATTACGTGTCTGTTTTTTTTGTTTACTTATTCCTTTTTTTTTGTTTATCTGAGTTAAGGAAAAAAGTAAGAAGAGGTAAAGAAGTTACGTATATTGTAAGAGTTAATTTGTAGTTATCTTTGAGAGAATATGTAAATAATTGTTTTTTTGTCTAATTTCCTTTTATTTTGAATTAGGGATAAATAAACTATAACAAAATAAAACTATTAACAAAATCTCAAGAATCTGAAATCTTAAAAATATATGGTCCATGTTTAAATATACAATATAAATATATATTAATTTTTTTTGTATATAATATATGAAAATTGTTAACCTTTTCTATTGAAATTAAAATATATAATCATCGTCACATTTTTTGCCACAATTTTTTCCCTTTTTTATTTTTGCAAATTAGCAATGATTCAAAAATGTTGAATGTTTCTTGCAAAAATTCGCAAGATACTTATTTATGTTGCAGAAGATTGCAATTTAGTGATGAAAATATGCAACGTCTGTTATAGTTGAAATTTTGCAATAAATTTGTAACGAAACTGTAAAAAATATTTATTATTGCAAAAATATTACAATAATCATAGCAAACTATTAACGAAAATAGACGTTGCAATTTTTCTGTTGCAATAGAGCTATTTTCTTGTAGTGTTTACATGTTCATCCTAACCTTTGGGACTTTTTAACAAATAAACGTCTGGGATTTATTAATAACCATAACTGAATATCATACATGATATAAAACTATATTGTGCTAGTAGTCGAACGTCAGACACGTTTATTTTGTTTTCCCATAATTTGTATTTTAGTTTTATAGCAGATAATCTTACAGCTATCTCTATTTGAATGATTAGTAACTTGCTATTGCAATTATATAGTTTTGAGATGATTTGTATTTTATCCTCAGTCATATTGCAAAATACAGTTTAACCATTACCTTAATTATCACTAATCAACGAGTTACAGAGATAATGAGGCAATGGGGGTAGTAGCGATGTGTCTAGTTCAAACGCATTTGCAAAGTTTTATCCATCCGACTATATATTTCTCTGCAGTCATAAACGAAAACGTAACTGAGAAACAATAATAATTCAGCTTATCGAACGTCTTGTCCAGCTAGTTGCACCAAAAAATATCCTTTTTTGGAGAGAAAATAGTTAAAGATTTACATGTATACAAATAGAGAGGACCACGCAGACTATTTATATTGAGAAAACGAACATCTTTTTAGCTGCTGGCTTAATATTTTAACCAACTTATATTTTGGCTTAATGGCTGCTGGCTTAATATGTTTACCAACAGGTCCGAAATAGATATATATATTTTGAGTTAATTGTATGTCTCTATGTATCTCCATGGTACTATGGTTTTTTTTTCCCAAGCCATCTCAAGATTATGAATACATTGTTTTGTAAAATATATGGGTTTTCTACATTTAGTTGTTCGATTATGAAAATGAAGAAAATTAAGAAAATGAAGAAAATTAGGGCGTAGAAAATTAGAAATACATCGACGTCATCCGTACAGTCACGTACAAAGGTGAGCCAATGATAATTCGAAAACACACCTCCTACTTTTTCTCATGCTCCAATCGAAAACTCCCCAGACAAAATATATATTTATTATTTATTAATCTAATAGATAAATCGTGCTCCACACTTTGGTCCAGATGTGACCCAGCAAAAAGTTATATCTCTAGATAATAAAATTTAATTCAACATTGCTATTACTATTGACCATTTGTCCTACTACTTTTCTTACCTCTTTTAACTTTTTTTTTTTTTTTGAAAAGAGAATTTTAACTTCTTTTTACTTCCTCTTTTAGGTTAAATCTTTTTTTCCGTTCCTCTATATTCACCTTCCTTTTATATATATCCACCTATTATAGATATCTACTCTTCTTTTTTTTTTTTGATCAACAATCTACTCTTCATAATGTGTGAATGATCTCCTAGAAAAAAAAAGTAAAGATTCCCCAGCTTGTCCAGAAACCTACTCCGTTCGTTTTCTAAAATGTTTCTAACAATCCTTGCGATTTCAGTTTGGTTTCTTCTATTAAAAGCCCCACATGTATTTTCTTAATTAAATAGCTACGGTTTAGACATATACGTTAGTTGGTGATTAACATTAGTGGTGATTTCACGGAGAAACTCTAGTGGATATATATGACCAATTTCAAATATATATATACCGTTTTTAATCCAAACAACTTCGAACGGATATACAACTTTCAGTTTAATTAAATTTAGACTTAGTAATTTAAAACAACCCTACATGATGCTCTTACCACGACGAATTACCTTAGCCTCAGCCATATTCGTCACAGCATTTTCTTCCTTCTTGCAAGGATCGATTCATGGAGGTTGGATCATGCCCTTCCCGAACGAAATGAAGCAGCAGCAGCAATTGCTTTGAGTGTCACACGCGACCTTCGTCATCAATCCTACATCGCCCGTAACGCTCCGGTGTGGCTTCATCATCTACTCACGTTGGAGGCTCAGTAATGAGGTTTCGTTTCACCCGAAATGGCCAATCCCGATCATACGACAGCCCGAGATACACCGGCTTGGCTACAGCATTTACTCATTATGGAAACTCGACAATAATGGGAATGGGTGAGATTTATTTATTTCTTCTCCTTGTTTGTGTGGTGTCTAGTGACATCCTATTTAATTTCTTAATTTTTGCATTGTATCCCAAAGATTATTTCTTCTTGTTCAAGTGTTATAAACAAAAAATAATTTAAAACAATCAGGACTCAAAAAGTTGTCCAAAAATTAATTTAATCATGATATATCTCTCTAAACTGTAGGTGAATTTAAATCGACTTTCTGTGAGATGTAAATCTGCTTTGATGATTTAAGCTGTAGATTTTGAATACTCACATAATTGTGATTTTTCATCTAGTTACAGAACAGATGTTTGATTTTTATATATATATTTTTTTATGAAACGATAATTGTATATACAAGTCGACCTTCTTGTAGAAACAAAGTTCGGATTAAGTTGTTGATAATTAAAATTTTCTATGCTTCTTGTACTGAAAGTATTGTTTCCTTGCTTTTTTTAATCATTGGAGTTTGGTTTTCTTTAAGCAGAATAAAGCAATGTTCTGAAAGCGGTTTGCAGTTTTGCACTGCAACTACGCATTTTTGTGTACTACGTACACGTAACACGTGGTAAAGGTATCTGAAATCATTCTTGAGACAGTGGTAAAGCAATTTATGTGCACAGATAAATAAGCAAACGGAAGAAAACGTTTTAAGAAAATTTTAAACACACGAACTTCTAATTCTACATACATATAATTTGAACGCTTTTTAGCAGAAAAAAATTGAAGGATATTATCTTAAACATGTCTGATTATCATTTTTTCAGTTTTAACAAAATCATATTTATGGAATTCCTAAATTAGTCAAGTGGTTTGATAAATGGTATATTAATGTTTTTACATCCAGATATCCAACTTTCTAATCACAGAGAAATTCTATACAAATTATGCAGAATTTAAAAAAATAAGTGATAAAAAACTCTCTTGATTTTTTGCATATTGCAAAGAGTACCATCGAAAAAAAATTTATATGACGATTTAGAATGGTACAGTCAACCATGAATCATCATAATATATATATATATAAAATTATTAGTCGTAATATAACTAATCAGTGTTAAAAAATCATATATACAATCATAAAAGATGAATATACACACCAAGGAAGTATATGTTTGGTCTATAAATCGTTCAATGAGGTTTAAATAGACGATAGCCACATATGGACGTTAGTTTAATCATATTTTCTTTTGATGTCTTCGTCCGATCTCACAAACTCTTAAAGTAACTAGATAAGTAAGAATATTATACATATATATGGACTCATGCAACTAGGTAGTGTAACCACGCTACGAGTACTAGCTAGTAGGGGACATACCATGGTAGGTAGATATGATGACAAATTTCATCTAATCATCTGATCCTTGACAGTGTATATAAACCACATAATATGCATTTGCTCTCATGTTGTGCGAGTTCATATAACCACATGTGAAACTCCAGGATTTTTGGATTGAGCTACTCATGAGTCAAATACATAGAGACATCAAAGCAAACATATGTGTATGATCATTTTCGTCCTGCGCGATTGAGAATTTGTTTGTTGACCATCTAAACAAACAACAATTAAAGTAGTTTAGATACTTAAATGCCTTGGACTCCGCTTAACCATTAATTTTCTAATGTGAAACACCGTTCTCTCATTTACCATACAAATCAAAGTTAGGAATTAAACAAACCAATATTAGTTTTTTATTTACCAAACAAACCAAATTACAATAAAAATAAAACATTATTAGTTGCTTAACTTTCTACAGAACGCGTGATTTGGGGGGGGGGGGGGATTATATGTCAATAGGCTCAACGCATTTGCATGTATTTATTAGCCTTTTCATTTAAACCTACTGGCTCTTATCCTTTTATTTTCTTACTTTAGATTCGGCTAGATATATAGTATGATCAATGGATTTAGGTGATTAAGATTAAAAATGTTGGATAAAGAGGGTTAATAGAAATAAGCTAATTGGAGACTCTGAAAGAAGAGATTCGATTTAGCCATTGGGGAGCGAGTTCACACTCCCAGTTGAGAGGTACCGACACATATCGGGCACGTGGGGGTAGCAGTGATTCACGTCATCTGTGGAGGGGACCACAGAGCGTGCTGATGATGTTACATCCGACGGTTGTTATTCCATCTTCTAATTCTCGTTGTCCTTTTCTAATTCGTTTATTTCTCTGTAAAGGTTAATAAACCATGCCTTGCATCGGCTTCCCCCACCTGAGCTTTTTATTCTCATCAGTTAACACTAACTAATGAGTTTAACTCTATAATTAAACTATCGACATTGAAGGTCTGGGTAAAATAATTTTAATAAATG